GGAGTAGCAGGCCTGAGCCCCAGGACTATGTGGCACACCTGAACCGAGATAAAGATGAAAAATACACAAGGAACACGAATAAATACTCAACTTCAACGTGAACACGGTGTGAGTTTTAAGACCGTAGCATCTGGGTGCTGACCTGAAAAAGCAGGTTCAGGAACTCGTTGGCCAAAGCGCTCTTTACACTCCAGATCTGGTAGTCCTCGAGGCTCAGGTGACCCAGCTGGTGGAGAGTGAAATAGAACCAAGGCGAACATAATCAGGCACGCAACTCTGAAAATAAACACTGCTGTGACACCTTCGAATAGCTGAGGACTGCGAGGTCATTGTCAGTGTGCTGAGCAGCCAACACTCACACGTGAAAACTGTTTGCTTTTTCTGAATGAGAGCAATGATTTCTTTAAAGCTGCAGACGCTTTAAAAGCCTTAAAAATTAATCATGAATACTAATGAGCATTTATGTATTTAGAGGTTTTGTACCAACGATGATAACATGGAGCTGTCTTACCTTAGTTGTGTCGTGCATCTTTAGGATGTCTTCTACTATGTCTGACACGCTACTCTGCAGCTCCTGCAACGGCAACACAATAGATCAGCACGCAGCAAAACACGGTAAGCACCTCGTCTGCAACCTGGTGACACTCGATGCTCTGATGTCTCACACTTGGATTTAGGTTGGTTGAGCATGGGAGCAGTGGACGGCATCCCTTCGTTCATCCTTTGGTAGCTGACTGCGTGTTTGCAGCACGTGAGGCTGGGCATTGTCGTGCACCAGTAAGAACCCACTACACCAGAGTAGGGTCTCTCAGTGGGTCAGTGGAGTTCATGCTGGTACCTGATGGCAGCCAGGGTGCCGTTAACTAGCCCGTGAACCTGCTCTCATCTGCGAAAAACAAAGGTGCCAGTGATGGACAGTGGTGGACCACTAGAGGATGATGGGTTGCTTGGTCAGAGACATTCACACCAGTGCTGGAGGTCATTTTGTAGCTCTGGCAGTGCTTATCTTGTTCCTCCGTGCACAAAGGAGCAGATAGCGGTCCTGCTGATTAGGGCTGGGTTTTTATAATCGATTTATCGATTAAAATCGATTCTGGCTTGGATAACGTGAAATCGATTCATTAAAATCCTGAATCGATTTTTTTATATAAATTTATTTTGCCTGAAACGCCAGAATCTCAGGTTAAACCTCACAACATTTCAACAACCACCAAACAGCTAAAACAGTAAATAAGAGCAGGAACACGGATTCTGCACAAAGACGTAAACACAAAGCGTGAACCCGCTGATGGATCAGAATCAGTGAGATGTGACTTTCTCACAGTCGGGGCTGAAAGCCGACAGCTCGCTGATTCTGATCTGTCGGCGGCTCCGCGCTTTGTGTTCACGCCGTTTTTGCGCTGATCATAAAGCTGTTAGTTTGATGTCTCTCCAAACAATATTGAC